AGCTGTTTCCTAACCTCTGTTATCCTTCCTAGTAATTTTGTTGAGTGGTTTATGTGATTCTTCCCCTTGGCCTCCCCCTATAGCTTTGGGGGAGTTGGGAGTTTTGGGAGGCATTTTGTTGTCTTGTCTTCTGATGTGTCTATTGTTTGATGCTGAGGTTTATGGATACTTTAGTCTAAAAACTTTGTTGCTAGCATAGGATCTCTTTAGTTGCTTTTCAGTGATGTACTTTGCACATGGCTAACTATAACCCTTTATCACAGCCCCAAGATCCTACCATCTTGGTTAATTTGGGAGGGTAGAATGCAGTATTGTTAGCCTAACAACTAAGTTGTCTGTGAGTGTACTTTAGTATTGTTAATGCCACAACGATAATTTGAGTGTTGGCTCACAGAGAAATAGTGACATTTATGTGATCCTGTTAATATCAAGTGAATCAACTACAGAATTATCATCCAAGGCAAATTTAATATTAACATGTCATAAGAACCAATTATGAGCCAGGTGTTGTGGCACACACCTGTAATCCCAGCACTTGGGAGTCTGAGGCAGGGGGATTGCTGTGAGTTCAAGGCCAACCTGAACTGCATAGTGAAACCTTGTCTCAAAAAAAAAAAAAAAAAAAAAAGAAGCCAATTATGTATCATGTACCATCCTTAATCCTAGAGAAGACATCTGCAGTTATGATATAAACATTAAGAAAATCCAGGTATTGACTTACAGCTAATATGTACTAAATGTGACAGCTATATCTTCACTAGTGGTAGAAAGAATTCTATAGCAACTTTACAGAGCTTCCTAACTATCAGAAGATTAATAAAGCTTTATGGCTGTACTGTTCAAGATATAGGCCTTGGTAATGGAGGAATGCTAGAAGAAAACTTGGATTTCTTAAACTCTATGATCTAGATGGAAGAGAAAGAAGTGGTACAAAGGATCTTATTCAGGAGCAAAAGGATGTTTATAGAATTAGGTAAAGGTAAAAGAAAAAACTGAGGAGAAATAGAAGATAAAAGAAAAAGATAAAAAGAAAGAAATTATGTTGAGAGTAAAAATAACAGAAAATTTATAGGGAAAAAATTAAAAGGACAAAGAAGAAAAAACTAAAAAAGGAGATAAGAGATAAGCAAGGAAGAAGGACAAAGGCAAATTCCACAAGGCCCCCAAAAAATTGGTGAAGAAGGAGGAAAGAAGAGAAAAACAAAGCAAAACACAAAATTAGAAGCAATTCACACACTCACAAAAAAAAATACAAACAAAAACAAAAAAGAAAAAAATTTGCTGTGATTTTGAACTTGTGGATTCCTTCTGGGATCTACAGTTTTGTGCAGAGTTTAAGGGCAGATATGGTCCCTCCTCCTGCTGGTAGATAAAGAATGCAGTCAGACCTCAGGTCTATGCTGGATTCCGGTACCAGCAGGCAGTAGGGTTAGGATAAGGGTGCCTGTTCAGCGACTTTCAAATCCAGAGCAGTTCATGCTGAGCCTAGCCTTGGCAGTGGGGTAGGGCCCATGTCCTTCAGCTTAAACCCCTCAGGCGTCTCTGGCCAGCCTGATTGCAGCTATGGCTGTCTCCCATCGCTGTACCTCACTCAGTCACTGTGGGAATGTAACACTGGGAGCCCTAAACTCAAGCTAATCTGCTGCTGTTCTAATTCCCAGGTTGAAACAATCAACCACTCCCTGGAATGGCATCTAACCAAACACTGTCTCCAGTGGGTACAGGGACACTTGGACTGGAGTCACTCACCAGCTGTTGCAACTCATAGCATCTGCTGATTCATTCCACCACTCTGTTTCACTCTCTAGACCTATTATTATTGTTATTATTATTATTTTTGGTCTTTTTGAGACAGGGTCTTATTACCCAGTTCAGGCTGGCCTTGAACTCACTTTGTAGCCCACCCTGGCCTCCAACTTGCAGTGATCCTCTTGCTTCAGCCTTTAGAGTGCTGTGATTGCAGACCTATTATTCTTAAATTTGGTCATTTAATTTCTGTTTTTTTTTTTTTCTCCGGTACCGGGAACCGAACTCATGACCTTGCACTTGCCAGGCAGGCGCTTTGCTGCTGAGCTAAATCCCCAGCCGCTGGTCATTTAATTTCTTTTTCTTTCTTACACTCAATGTGATAATTCATTGTCCTTGTCTTCCAACACTGATGTTCTTTCTTTTGTTTGGTCTGTCCTACTGGAAGGACTTTCTATTGAGTTTTTCATCTAATTCATTAAACTTTTTATTTCTATGATTTCTACTTAGTTTTCTTTCAAAATGTTTATCCTTTTATTAAATTTCTCATTTATATCTGGCATTGTCTTATTTCATTATTTTTTCTGTATTTCTTGAAATTTATTGACCTTTTTGAAATCATTTAAAAAATCCTTTATCTGGTGTTTCATCTACTTCAGTATCTTTAGAATCAGTTACTACAGAATTGTGAAGTTTTTCGAGGGTGTACTTTTTATTTTTTCATGTTTTTTTTTGTATTTCTATATTGAAATATGTGCACACCTTTATTTGGATATCTCTTTTATTTCAACTCCAGATTTTCTTATGGGATGGCTTTCTCTTGATAATGTACATTGGTGGTAGTTTTGCTGTATAGTGATATGTTTAACCCATGTTTAACTATATGATGTAGTTTTCCTGTGGCTTTTTAGGTAGTTTTTAATGGGTTTTTACTCTGTATGTAATATTTTGGGACTGAAGGATCCACTTTCTCTGTAGAACTTCTGTCTGAAAGTGCATGGGAGTAACCTATGTTAGTGCCCCTCCGGAGTGGTGATCACAGCAGTTGTGTTAGTTCTCTCTGTTGTTACTGAGTGGATGAGTGTCCACCGGTGGTTAATTTCCAGTAGTAGATCCCCAGCACTACTGGATCATCAGCTGGGGGTTTTTCTCTTCAGTTCTTTATGCTGGGACATTCATCTAAGTTAGAGCAAGACTACTTCATTGATGGAGTAAGGGAAATTTTCTTTTACTTGCAGGGGATGTATCTCAGTAACAAAACACCCACCCAATGTGTTCAAATTTCTGAGCTCAACCTCCAGCATGATGTTGGGAGAAGAATACAGCCAGTAATTCCAACAACAACTTAAAAGGAAACTGGATATAGACATACTATCAAAGCATATTATTAATAAAAGCATCTGTACCACAAATAACTAAAGAAGGGGGAGGGATAATATACACTAGATTAAAAATACGTATGTTGTCAGGTGTGGTGGTGCATGCCTGTAATCCCAGCACTCAGGAGGCTGAGGCAGGAGGATCATTCTGAATTTGAGGCCGGCCTTGGCTATAAAGTGAGCTCAAGGCCAGCCTTAAGTGCATAGTGAAACCCTGTCTCAAAAAGACAAAAAAAAACCATATATGTTAATGAATATAAAATTAACATTATAAGAAAGGAATAAAAGTGAGAAAGAAAAAATAAGATCATATTAAATAATTCAGAAATAGATATAATTAGATAAATGTATAAAAATAGGGAAAACAAAAGAAAATGAAACAAAACACAAGCAAAAGGGCAAATAATACACAGTCAAAAATTCCTCCTTGCTGAAATGTTTAATAAGGAAATGGAGATGCTTCTTTCTGTGAGTTGTAGTTTTAGAGACTGCCAGGAATGAGAGGTGGGCAATGGGTCACAGGTCCAGTTAGGGATATTTCTTCTCAGTGCCAAATAGTCCAAACCACGTGGGCCCATGTAGAGAGTGAGGCCTGTCCTACCTTGCCTACCACTGTGTCTAAGACAGTGTCTTCTGCAAGACTACATTCATGTTAGTGGGTTTTTGTGTTCATCAGTAGTGTGGAAGCAATTAGAGCCACCTTCAAACCCATTTCACTGGCCAAGCCTATGGACTTATCTGATAATTCCCCCACACTTCCAGAGCGCATAGGAGTAGCCAGTATTCCAGATGTGGTGGCATATCCCTGTATGCCTCTGTGTGTGGAGGAGGTAACTAAATCAACACAATCTGCACTGAGGGAGAGTGTGGTGTGGTAGGAAGAGAGTTATTGGACAGCACCTGTGTGAATCCACACACAGCTGATCCTATTCCTTTTCACATGTGTCTATCTAGATTTAATTGGAAGCACCTTCTCCTCTCCACATCACAGACTGTGCTTCCCACTACACAGATTTCTCCACAAATGTGTCAAGGTCACTTCCTTGGGCCTACACTCTCTTCCAGGGTGTCTGCCTGATGCATCACTGAGCAGAAGTTGCTGTGGCATCCTGGAGATATAAAAATGCTGGGGCTTCTGATTCTCTGAGCATTATGTTCAGACAATAGGATACTCCATAAGATGGTTCCCAGTTATGGCACCATGTAAATATGCCAGGAAATACTGGGAAATTCTTCGGTGCCATCTAGCTATATAGATCTTAGGCCTCCTGAATGCTCATGCTGTATGTTAGTATGGTGCCAGATCTTGTGCTTGTGGAGATCTTCATGACTTTTTCTCTTTTCACTTGCTGGGAGCTAGAGGGCTTGCTTTTCCCATGCTGTGTTGCCGTAAACTAAGTGTTGTGGCTCTGTTCTGTTGCAGTTTTAAAATCTAGTATTTCAGAGTTTTTCCTGGTCCTTGACTCTTATTCCAAAGTGCTTTCCCATGATACCCTGGCTCACCTCACTATGTGACTATATAATTTTACAGGAAAAATTAGGTGACTCCTACATTAAAACACCATGAAAATCTCATGCTCTCTTTTACCCTTTCTGTTAACTTCAACCACAAGTTATAGAAATCATGACCCAAACTTGCTTACAGGGTAAAATATTTCTTATTCCACCCTGACAAGCTCCAGGCATGGTACAGTCATTCTTCACGTTCGATATTCTTGGCATTGGATTCCATCTTAGTTGTCATTGTCCTCAGGTGTCCTTTCTGCCAAGAAAGATTCTTTAAATTTGATATTTTGAGACCCACAAATGAGAAGGAAAAACTTAAGTATACAAAGGATTGTGAAGATTGTTCATAGTAACTTTATATACTATGCTTTAGCAAATGTAGTTTAAAAACATGTCAATCTGATTTCTAATCACAACATCTGGTGGGTGGAGCATGTTGGCATTGTATGCAATGGTCATGTCCCAGGCATCAATGACACCCACATTGAGGTCTTTGAAAATGTCCTTCAGGGTAAGATATTGAATGTATCCATGGAATTCATCAAACCACTGTCTTTCCATGGGCATTTCTCTGATATTTTCTGTCTTAATGATCACTTTAGTGGCTGGACTTCTTAGAAACAGCCGTTCAATTGCCTTTCGGATTCTGATAGCCCTGCGAATGAAAATATCAATGGGGAAGGGTCTGAAGTGATGGCCAAAGGTAATAACGATGGCTGTGTTTTGGTCCCCGAATACCCGGTCAATCTCCAGAGGGATATAACTGTCATCTACCACTGAATATAGATTAACTGTGAAAAAAGGGTAGCTATGCTTTTTCCATTGAATCTGAGTGTGTCTTTCAGCATCCAGAAGCAAACGTTTCTGAAAACTTCCAGTTCCATGAAGATCAAAAAATTTCAGTGCTGATAAAAAATAAACAGATCTTTAATTCCACTGTAATGATTAATATTTTTAGAAAAAATATCTTATTTACAATACCCACCTATTTTTGTCATCTATAACTCCAATGATGATTAATGTTTGTAAAAGACTATCCTATCATTTAGAGTACTCACTTAGAATACTTCCTTAGGAGCATCCTGTGCTCTGGGGTAGGTTACCAGATCATATATGAGAAATGTCAATCAAAGGGCAAAGTTTTATTGGAATTTTTTTCAGTTATAAAGACTTTTTATCATGATGACATAAATATAATAAAAGTTTGCTATTTTCACCATTAAAGCATGTAACTCAGTGGTATTAATTATATTCACAATGTTGTACAGTCATCACCATTGTTTCCAAAAATTTTATACCCTAATCTAAGACTCTGTACCTGCTAAGCAGCATCTCCTCACTCCCCCATTTTCCCTAGCCCCTGCTAACCTATTGTCCATTTTCTGTCTACATGTATGTGCCTATTCTGTATAGATCCCGGAATTATATTTGTTCTTTTGTGTGGTTTGTTTTATACTTTTAAGGTTTGTTGTTGTTGTAGCATGTATTAGAACTTTGTTCCTGTTTTTCTTTAATTTTTTTTTGTAGTGTTAAGGTCCCAATTCAGGTTCTTATGCATGATAAACAAGTGCTCTATCACTGAAGTTACATCCCTAGCCCCAGGATTTCATTTGTTTTTATGGATGAATAATATTCTGTTATGTGCATAAACCACATTTTTTAATTCATTCATTTGCTGATGGATATATGAATTGTTTTCACCTTTTGGTTATTTTGGTCATTCATTTAGAGGTATCTAGTTGAGTTCCTATTTTTAATTTTTGGGGGTGAGGACTGAATACAGGCTCTTTGCCTTTCTTAATTTCTGTTGTGAGATAGGTCTCACTAAGTAACAAGTCTGTTTTGAGATAAGGTCTCACTATGTAGTCCAGGCTGGCCTTGAACTCACTGTATAGCCAGGCTGGCCTCAAACTCTTGCCTCAGTGATTCTCCTGCCTCAGCCTCCCAAGTTCTGGTATTACAAATGTGTGCCACCACATCCAGCTGCTATGCAGCTAAATTGCCCCAGCTGGGTTAGTTTTGATCCTCCTGCCTCAGACTCAGGGTGCCGGTATAACAGGCCTGTACTACCATGTGCAATTTCATTTTAGTCTTGATTTGCATTTTCTAATAACTAATGACTGGAGCTTCTTTTTGTGTGATTGTTAAACATTTACACATTTTTGGAGAAATGTCTATTCATTGGAATTTATAAAGCACAGCAACATTTCTTATGAAAGAGGGAATAAAATACATTTCAAGTGAAATGATTCAAAACCAGAAAGCTAAATGAAGGAAAAATCAAAATAGCCCAAGTAAGAGAATAGAGACCTCTTTAAAAGTACTTTAAAATTAGCCTGAATTTCTAAAACAATACAAAATAATTACATACTTTTTAGAACTTTGGGTAAGTAGTCAGTCCACTGACGCAGCGTGGAGTCTCCCAGGAGGTAGATGAGTTTTCCTTTCAAACAGTCATTTATCTTCATTGTATCTAACTGAATCTGGTTGCAAAATGTTGGGATCCACCTGTCTTGTAGCACGTAACCACCAGGGAAAGGACTCTTCAGTCCAACTTGACATTTCCCTTTTACTTTTTCGTTTTCTGGTAACACAGATACTTGTGGTAAGTGGTTTTAATGGCATCAGGTAAACATCCAGACTTCTTTCTTTTTCCTTCCCTTCTTGATCTCTTCTCTATTCATCTAACTCTTGTTGCTTCTGCACCGTCCTAGCACTATTATTTTGATCACTAGCTGTAAGTCATTTTCACTCATTCTGCTGAGCCATTTTGTGTCGCTTTCTGCCTTTCTATTCATATTCTCCCAAATCCAGTCACTGGTTAAGTCTCAGTGTTCTGTTCTTTCATTGTCATCCCCGATGACTCTTTAGGGACTTAAATGTTTTTCTAATCTGAATCTTAGTGGTCTGCCAGTTGATGTTCTAATTATCAAATTATTTAATTCTATCAAAGGAATTCTAACAAAGAAATGATCTTAATTTTCATATTTACAAAATACTTCATAATATAACATATGTATATTTCAAAAATTTCAAACAGAACCAGGTGTGGGGGCCCAAACCTGAAAACCCAGGACTCTAAGACTGAAGGAGGAGGATCATAAGTCTGCACCCAGCTGGAGCAAATTAGCAACTTAGTAAAGCCTCGGGTCCAAGTTAAAATAAAAAAATGTTGTAGATATAGCTCAGGGCAAAGAAGCCCGGGTTCAATTACCAGCAGTGCAAAAAACAAACAAACAAACAAACCCCAACAAAACCAAAACCAAAACCAATAAGTAAATGGATAAATGTAAATTTTTTAAAATTACAAAATAAGAATGCCGAACAATATAAAATACCTACTGAGCTGATTTTTAAGATAGAACTTTACTAAAAGTGTCAAGCAGCTTGCAGCACAAGCCAATATTCTGAGATATTCTAGCAAGTTCCACTAGAATTTCCAGCTCTGTTATGGTCTGCCTTCCAAGGTATCCTATCTGGCAGACCATGAAATGTTTTCATAACCCTAAAATTATTTTTAAATTTCAGTGTGACATGGCTAGGCTTCCAGGAGGCCTGCTGGCATTGTATCCTGGGTTATTTTAATATCATAATCCTAGATATTTAGGATTCATAGTTTCTAAGTATTCTTAACCCTAAGAATTATTTTTTTTTCCCCCCCCTCCGGTACCAGGAACCGAACCCACGACCTTGCGCTTGCCAGGCAGGCGCTTTGCCGCTGAGCTAAATCCCCAGCCCAACCCTAAGAATGTAATGGCGTATCTGAGACGATTGCCTTGAGCTTATTGTTGACTGCCATATCTTACCTAACGTGGTACCAGGATATTGATTTTCCTATGATTACTCTTACATACTTAATTTTAGAATAAGTTTGGTATTTGAACTATATGTGGTGAATGGTACAAGATTTCATTATCTTTGTTTTACTAGACTAGCCGTGATGATAGGCAAGCTAATGTTCCCTAAAGTTTTCAAGTACAGTACTAGTTCATCAAACCTGTGAATGTGTTGCCTTCCTGGCAAAGGGGATTTTCCGGATGTGAGTAGGGGTATAGTCTTGAGATAAGAAGATTTTCCTGAAATTATCTCTGGCAACATGCAGAGACTCCCAGCTAAACTCCTTAGTCCTCCAACATGTAAAATAGGAGCAGAAAGGGAGACCAAACATATGTAACATAAGGATTTGAACAACTGTTGTCTTTTTGGAGACCAAGGAATGTGGCTACAAGGAATGTAGACTTTAGAAGCTGAAAAAGGCAGTAAAACAGAGCCTCTAAAAGGGAACACAGTTCTGCTATACTTTAACTGTAGTTCAGTGACACTGATATCCAGCTCCTGAATGACAAAATGTGGTAGTACATGTTTCTTGTTCTAAACTGCTTTGTTACTGTAGCAATAAGAAACTAATATAGACAAAACCCACATCTTTGCAATTTTAGGGCATCCCAATTTGAAACAGCATATTTTCTTCTATTTGTATAAATTTTATTTCATACCCTTTAGTAACATTTCAAATTTTCTTTCTGTAGGTCGTGCTCGTTTTATTATTTGCTTTTTAAAGCACAAAGGATATATACCACTATATTCCCCATTTGACTCTGTGTTTCCAAAACCCACCAAATAAGCACTCAGCTTAGCACTTGACTGAGGGTACCTCCCTTTCAGCTTCTTCACTGGCTACATTCTACCTCATGCCCACCTCACTGGTTGAGTTAACAAGGTCCACAGTAATTTTGCTCATGATTACAGTTTCTGATAAAAGACTTCCATTAAAAAGTACACAGTAGCTCATTAAATCAGTATTACTTAGCAAGGAATACTTTTTAGGATGTCTCAATAATATTTTTCCTTTCAATGTATGTAGAAATGGACAATGAGAAATTACTCATTTAACTGATTCTCTATATTACTTACTTAACTCTAACAATTCTATCCCTGATATTTATGAAATTTCTCTTTCACTCTATCCTCTAATTACAGATATCCTCAGGAATCAGTCAAATATTAACTATAACATGAGTCTTTCTGCATTTGCTTTCTTCATAGAATTAGTAGATGAGTGTTTTTCAAATTGCAGGCTTAGTAAGGATTTATTTTCTCCATTTGTGCATAATGCTTCATCTCTATTAGACCTTCAATAAACATTTGCTGACTGAATGAATAAATATTGGCAATAAATCGTTGTGAGTTGCCAGGTTTACCGGTGTTATTGATGAAATAATTCTTTGTAGAAAGTTATTTTAAAGCTAAGGTAGTATGTTTCATATGGAACATTGCTTTCTGTTTGTTATTAAAGATGTTTGTTATAATAAGACGGGAACACCATATAAAATTGATAAGTGCATCTATAGCAGTTAGAGGTTCTGCCAGCAGAGTTAGGAAACCAAAGCCACAATGTTCCTGCTCTGAAGCTGTGGGTTTCCATCAAAGACACTTTCACAGAGGCTCAGTCTTTAGGAGTTGAAATCCTAGGTTTAAATAGAATGTATGATACTACTATTTTCTTCTCTTGGGTAAATCAGGATGAAATCTGTTATAAACAGAGCTTGAAGTAATTCAGCAAAATTGATTTCTCTTTAAAGTCCAGCATGATTGACATCAAAAACACCAGCTAAGGATTATCCTGCAGGAAACTATAATGAATATAGATTAATACTGATAAACTGCTATGAGTTAGACATGGGCCCAGCAGCACCTACCACAAATAGATCAGACTTACTGTTACATTGGGAGACCTCAATATGTTTAAAGTCTTTCATTATTTCGACTGCCACTTTGGACCTTCAAAAGAAAAGACAAATTAGACTGTCGTTTGTTCACATAAATCAGGCCACAAAAATCAAAATCACCTGATTGTAAATGAAGGGTAGTTTTCAATATTTTATAAAGGAAACTATTATTTTTGTTGTAAGTTTTAGATATATTGGGTATTGTAAATCAGTTAGGATTTTGGAGGACTTTCTATCCTACTGAGAGTACCTGAAGTCCAGGGCAGCTCTACTTAACTGCCATGTGCAATCAGTATGTCCTATGATTTTAGATTCAAAAATTTATCAAATCTGCAAGTTAACTATCTGTTTCTACATCATTTCTTCAAGTGCATATACTATTTTTTAAAATTACTATGTCTCTTCTATTGGCCACCCTGTCTCAGTTTTATTCTACCTAAATTCTTCAACACAACTGCCAGAGCAACCTTTCCAGTTGCAAATCTAACTGCATTATTCTTTAAACTCCTATATTGTCTCCCCATCACTTACTTAAGGAGTTCAGACTCCTTAACATGAACATAAAGTCCTTACTGCAGGGTTCCTTCTTCCCTCTGTAGCGAAGTTCTCTGCTGTGTTCACCTTCAGTTTTCCCTACATGCCTGATGTCTGAAGATTGTAAGTTTTCTGAAGGAAGGTAGTGCATTTGTCTTGCCTATTGCCATGTCCTTAATATCTATCCCACTTGGTGACAGAAAGCAGTGGTCATGCATGAATAATTAATTATATTCTGCATTTCTTTCATGCAATTGATGAAAGACTAACTGATTATTCCTGCTTCAAAGCTCTCACTTCCTCATCCACTTTGATTCATTCTTTTGTTTCAACCTGTGTTCATGTGTGTGTAGGTAGAGGCAGGCAGGAAGGACTAGGGATCAGGTACCAGGTACAGCATATACAATTACCCTGTTCTCTGGTATAGATGTCTCTTCAGGGCCAATCCCATAAAGGCAATATTTTTATCCTTAACAGAGATTTGGGTGTGAGGAGGGTTAGTGAGTAGGAAGAGGTTTGGTGAGTTGTACAATCTGAGAAAAGTGGGAAGGAGCAGAAACTTAACTGTGGTTTTTACTTATTCAAAAGTGAATTGGAGACACTCAAATTTGAATAGCCTGGTAAGATTCTAAAGTGCAAATATTTCCCATGGTTTGCATTAACTCTTATTTCCTATATATGTATTTTTCTTAGAAGAAAAAGTCTCTAAGTTTGACTTTGAAAGCTTCTAAGAAAGTGAATGCTGTGATTCCTGAGACCCCAGCATTTTACTCTGTCCCCAAGCTTAGGGAAAATAAATACCCATGGGAGTTGGGCATAGACTTTTGCAGCATGAAAAAGAAAAAGAAGCGAATTAAGGCTTATGGAAAGTTAGCAATCGATCAAAAGACTCTGGAACTGATAAGTGTCTCAGGGTTTGGCTGATAGTTCTAGGGTTTGTGATTAGTCACCTTTTGCAAAACCTCAAAGTGGCCCTGATGTTTCATTCATGTAGACACCCAGGTTTGTTCAACCAAAAGCTTCAAAGAACTGATTGGGTCACACTTTGAGTAAAATAAAGGATGCCTTGACCTGGTGTAGGGTATATAGAGGCATCTTTTCATGAGATCAACTGGAGATGACCTGTGGGTTTGGCTTTTAAAAAGGTGCTTACGTTGAAGTATAGAAGGAGGACAGTTGAGAACTGTAGTCTAGGTGAGGCCATTGTGACCTGAACTTGGATAGTAGCACTAGGTATGGAAAGAAATGGTTGAAAGCAAAAGATACTTAACATGCAGAATCTATGGGCTATAATGGGAGGTGATGGAACATCAAGGAATCTTTTTTTTGATGCAACATTTGTGGACATATAGCAGAAACCTTCTGTAGAACGTATTTTCAAAACTTACATATGTAGGGCCGGGGATATAGCTCAGCAGCACAGTGCCTGCCTGGCAAGTATGAGGTCGTGGGTTCAATTCCCGGTGACAAAACAAACAAACAAACAAAACTTACATCTGTAGTAAAATATATGATTGAATGTGACATTGTTGGTTGCCATACAAAAGTATAGGCCATATATATTTTAGATTTCTACCTGTGTGTTCCTCTTCTTGAACATTTCAGTGAAAATGCAAACTGTAGATTGAGTTAAGAAGAGGATGCCACAAGAAGACGCCATCTGTCTGTCCAGAACCTTGAACAGAATCATCTGGGAGGGTCATGCTCAATGCTGACATAGGCAGTATACCTCTGTTCAGGAGGACAGTGTCTCTCACTGTATTGAAAAGTATACTCACTTATGGAAAAGGCTTTTTTCCTTGACAGTAAGATAAGAGCTTTTTCGGTTCCTGGTAGACACATGGGTCAGGGCCTCACAGGGCATGTGTTGAGGCTTCATACAGTAGAAGACTTCATGGTCTCCGCCAAACAGGTATTTGCATAGTTCTGCAGTTGAGTTTAAGGTCAGGCCACACTCAGAAAGGACTTGTGAAGTGCCATTAACAAATTTACCTTGGAAAATAATTATATCACCGGTTTCTTTCCTTGCCCTCCAGAGAGCTGATGCCCCTTCACTGGGGTGCATGAACAGGACAGACAAGGAGACCCCACCCTCCCAGAACAGAGTGAAGCTGACAAGGTAGGTGCCATTGTTGAAGTCTGTCACCTTTCCTGATGCACCGGCCTTAAGGCTTGGGGAAGACATCCTGGCCCTCAGAAAGTCCCCACCATATTCCTTCCTGCGTCCTAGATGGTCCTTCACCTCCAGCAGGATGTCCAGCTGGTCCCCCCTACAGTATGTGTCTTGAGGGTTGAGGATGGTAGTTATGCTATTGGCTGCACTAGTGGTGGACTTCACATCGGTGAAGGGTCTGAGCGGGATCAGCTGGTCCAGTTTCTCTGTGATCTCCCTGACTCTCATCTCAGTTTCTGTTGCTGACTTTATCAGGCTCATTGATGTGTTGGGGAATGAGGACTTTGTGGAGGTGTCCCAGTTTTGGAGAGAGATGGGGAGGTTTAGAGGCAACCAAAGCTGAAATGACAAATACATGACATATTACAAAATCTACTTGTTCACAGTCATTTTTACTTACAATGAGTTTGAGTGCTTATGTATATACCCTCATCAATTTTGAATAAAATATACACGTTTATATTTTACTCCAGTAGAGAATGCTTGAACAGTTATAGATAAATATATTCAATCTAAGAAAGAGCTTAGGGAATGTGTATTAGTAATAGACTGATGCTGGTATATGTTTTTCTGTTGCTTGTGTACCTTACATCCAATAACCAATTTTTATTAACTCTGCCTATGCATCTCTTTTGCCTATGTCTAATAATCTTTTTATTTCCAACCTATCGTGTATCCCCTTAGATTGTGATAGTCACATTAATAGTGAAGATGGTCTTCAGACTTCATGAAGACAGTCTTGGTCTCTTTCCATTTAGTTTTTTCCATTGTGGCTAAACAAGCCTTTCAAAGTAGAATTTATGTCTTAATGGAGTAAAGGAAAAAATTGCATGCTTTTTCACTGTTTTCAACTTCTCTAACTGGAGATTATAGTTGTCAAAAATATTTTATATATTTCAAAATTTTATTTGTCATTAAAATTCAGCAAGCAGAAAGCCTTAAACATTTTCAAAGTCAGGAAGAAGACAAGCTTAGCTGCCATCAGCTGAACAGATTAGAAATCCTGAACAATAAAATTAAACAAAAAAAAATCCAAATGTATGAGAATTGCAAACTATATTTATTTTTCTTTTTTCTTTTTCTTTTTTTTTAGATCTTGTGATTGTCCACAAAGAAGATCAGGGTTAGAAAATTATTCATATTAAGAGATCCAGCTAGGGACTGAATATAAGGTAAACTTATAAAATCAATAACATGTATTGACAGTAGTAATAATTACTAGAAAATGCAAAAGAAATAAGCTCTGATCTTGATGAAGGCACATGGTAAGAAAATCATGTTATTGCATAAGAAAAAATAATTTGTTTGTAGAAGAAATCATAGAAAAAATGAAAAGACAATGACAAACTAGATTTGTCTGATCAAGGAATATGTACACCTCAAATAGCTGACAAGTACTTATTTAATGACATGGAAGATAGTGGCCTTAACAAGAGCCACTGCAGGTTACACGGGAGGTAGACTTCTGATTAGATGGATTGCAGGTAAATTGAAAATGAGGAAATGAAGACAGTGTTCACAGTGCCTCTGAAATGAGGCAGACAGGGGGAAGAACAGGAGTTGGAAAGGGAGAAGAAGGGCAGAAGTGATTAGTGATTTCTGACTTGGTAAAGGTCAGACAGGTGGAGGCTTCAAATCAAATTGGAGAAACCTGTTCCTACCTTTGCGGGATTTTGGGAAATTACAAAAATTATCCAGGTAAGTATTAAAAGAGATGAAAATATCAGCAGTGGCATTGGAAGCTTCATATTTGAGAACGTGATGAATGTCCTACAGAAGGAAACACAAGCGAAGGAATAATGTGAGAACCGATTCCCTCTGTATTCATTGTTTCATTCTGAACCTGTAATATGTACCTGAGACTTTAGTCCCCCTGAGTTACTCTGCACAAAAGGAAAGAGACGATTCAGCAGGGTTACTGCATGAGAAAGGGGAAAGAGGCAGGAAGAGACGGTGACGGGGACAGGGGGAGAAGCAGAGTCATGGAGGGAAGAGTAAAATTCTGTGATTTTCAAGGCTTACTTTAGCATGCAAAATGTAAGGCCTCTCCTCCGTTCCTTGTCAAATCCTCAGTGAAGTCTAAATTGTGTGAAAAACCTTTGTGTGAGTAGAATCATTGGGAAGAACCCACAAAGATTCCATTTTCGAGTCTCATCAATACAGAACAAAATCAGATACTTCCATGCAAAATGGAGGGACAGTGTAGACCTGGCTAACTTTTGGAAAGTCCAAGGTAATATTTTTTTCCCCCAATATGCAGTAAACAGTTACACTGCATGCTGGGTTACCCTTATTGAACTATGATTTCCAAGCTACGAAAGCACAGTGTAGGAGCGATATTTGGTTTTGGGTCCACATTGCTATGGGGCGAAAAAGGACAAGGGGCCAAGCAATCTGCCACTCAGTAGACTGCCATTGTTTGTTTACTTTGTGATCAATGAAAAACTAGACCGAAAGAACACAGCAACATCTATCTGAGTATTGTTTTCTTGATACTCAGTACAGTTATTGACAAACACTGTTTATAAAACAATGTAAAAAACAGAATGCTTCTTTTCAGACCAATGTCAAATTCTATCCACTGAAATTTAGTATTATCTCAGAATGTACAAATAGTATGGTATGTCCAAAAGGGCAAAATAATGGAGGCAATCAGGTACTCTAAGTGCCTAGCATCCAGAGACTAACCTAGACTTTTTGACTTTTAAATTACTTTCATAATATGTAAGTACAACATCTGGTCTGATTCATTTTTCCTTCTCTGGAAAGCAATGTATAGTCTCTGGAAATTCTCTGGAAAGCAAAGTGCTTTTCAGTAATACTGAGAAAAAGAAACCAAACATGATTACCATTGTGCCTTTATGAATCTCAACTTCCTTTTTAAGCGTTTTAAGCTAATCCACTTATTCATTTATTTTGAAAAAAGTGCATACTCACCCCAAATGTGTCTGGTATCATATAATATTCTAGAGATAAACAAAATCAATAAAACAAATGAAACAGACATTTATGAGGATTGGAATATGGTGGTAGAAACACCACATTCTCGGTGTGAGTCAGCAACTGCACCCTTCAGAATGAAATTCTCATCATTTCTTTCCTTACTACTAATCCCCACCAGACTCTCTGGTAAATCCTCAAGTTCTTATTCATTGTTTGAATCTGAGCTTGAGTACCACCTGTTCTTTCCTCAATCATTTTAATTAATGTATCCCTCATGTTCCCCTAGTCTATTATACCTACTTTTGCTATAATTTTTTGTTTTGTTTTGTTATAACACAATTGTTATATTGCCTTAACTATCTGCTCCTTCATTAGATGGGTGAACTTCTAGAGAAGAGACCATCACCCAAGGGGACAATAATCTCAGGCTGAAACCATCTACCTTATATACTGATATGTATTCCACAAAATCTTGGTCCAGGCAATTAACCAATTCTCTTACAATATCCCTCATCTAACATTTAGACTGATGTACTCTAAACTAGTGAGAGCTGGCTCCTTTGAGAATAACCAAAGTACTTCTTTGTAAGAAGGAATTTTACTATTGGCAGGGCCTTAAAAATTTATTAATCCCATTCTCAGTACAATAATGATTTTTGTATCTGTTTTCTACTTGGAAATTTTAATCAAGATCACCTTTGTCTAAACAATAAATAATTGCAGTTCTTAATTCTTCTTGGAGCCTTATGACAGATAATATCCTTTATTCTTAAATCAGTGCCTGACCCAGATTCTACTATTGATCTTGAGCTCTGCGTATCCAGATGTCTTCAGGGTGTCTCCACTTGGAAATCTTCATGGGAAGAGATCTGCTGGACCTGGCTTGTACTGGCTAATGAGAGGTAATGAGAGCACATCTCTTCCCAGTGAAATAGGACATTATGGACAAATGTGCAACATGGAAATCAGCAAAGGATGTGAACAGGTCATTTTCTGGGAGAGCAGACTTATCAATACATTCTTGCCAATAGGTTCTTAAAATCAACCCATTCAATGAGACTATTTTCTTTTCTCAGAGTTCTCTACTTTTTTCACCAGGAATCACCCATCAGAATCTTGGTCACTATCTCTAAATTGTCTCCTATGGTCATATCCTGTTATCTTCAGATGTGATTGCAAAATGCAGAGACTGCTATTGTTGTCCCTTCCCCCCTAGTAATAGGTGGCATGTGGGAGTCCAGTTACACTACTTTTCCTGGACCCCATGGTGTTTGGAGTCCATTATTTGAAATGGAGCATAAATAGATGCAACACGTGTGCATCTACTCCAGACTCGCTTTCTTCTTCCTAACTGCGGTAAACTAAATATGGCAAAAGCTTCATCTTGACCATGCAGATGATGACCAAATCCTGGAACAGGAGATCTTTAAAACTTCTTTATTACATAGACCCCTTTGTCCAACTGATGAAACCTTTGCACCTCTTCCTCAAATAATGTTTTAAAATATGTAAAAAACATACACAGATGATAACAAGAATTAGTCTTGCTGAGGTACAGTAATCAACATTTCAAATAACCCAATTTGTCATATAGTCATATAGCAATTCTTTATTACCACGTGAAATAGCAAAATTTAACAGGCAGGTCCTATATTTACAGTAATTCCAGAGCATTGATAAGTATGAATGATACTTTGAGAACTTCTAATAACTGTATTGTGATGCAAAAATATCTGTGATTCAAACTCTTGACTCAGGCACAGGTATTGCTAAAACTACCAAGATTTATTGTTACCATGCATGGTTGATGACATCGCTAAACTTCTCTTTTTTTTTAATTTTAAAAATAAAAGGAGGAAAACATTAACAGACAGGCAACCTTTTACAAAATAGCAAAAGAACAGTACAGACAATACAGAGTTACAAACAAAGTGGTAGGAAATTAACAATGCTTGTTGTATTGCATATTGATATCTTCAAAGTGGTTTCTCATGAAAACAGATAGAGACGTGCAATATTGATCAATCAAAGACTTATTGACAGTTTCTTTTGGCAAAGAAATAGAAGACAGAAGAACAACTATGATAACTATCCTGCATATACATACATACAAAATTTTTCCTTCTTTCCCACATCCCAGTTGCCCTTTACCCTTGAGTACTTTCCTATCATTTCACAATGTCTATCATACCTCCTAGTTTAAATGAACTCTTTCAGGTTTTACACTAGTGAGACAATGCGGTGCTTGCACATGCAGGTCTGATTTATTTCACTTATGAGTATGGTCTCTA